ATATCGTCGTAAAATATTGTTAAAATTATCCTATTTCGTTATATTCTATTACGTTATGTTTGAAATAATTACGACTATTAAGAGAAAAGGATTTTAGTGAACTCTCGTTTCTTCAAATCGATGCAAAAATTTGTATTTTCGATAAAGATGCGCGATCTACTTGTTATTATATCGTCGTAAAACATTGTTAAAATTATTCTATTTCGTTGAGATTGAATTTCACCCCTTAAACTAGATTCGTACAACAATAGCAAGGAAAAAGTAAAAATACCAAATACCATGAAACAATGCTAGGACAATTACGAACACACAGCAAAAATTATGTCCCATTTAGAAGAGAGCAAATTACTTACCGAAATTATATAGTAACTTAAGGAACCTAGATTAAGACGATAATGTTAAAGCCGGAGTGTTCAATTTATATAATCTAATGCAAATACCATTGTACAATTACAGTAATAAAGTAACCCTACAGATGGTAATCCCACAAGTGGCCGCTAATTGCTATTAAGCAGGTGCGACAATAAATAAATAGAAAGGAAAGTTGCTGCAAATATCGATGAAAATTTCAACACGAAACGTTAAAAGGAAACGAGAAACGCGCGAGAAAGTCGCGTCACAATGCATATTGCGTTGCGGTATGCGTAACACCTAGACAAGCGATAGTAAAGCGTTAGGCCGTTAAAAATAGCAGCGACGAGTTCTTAACGGTCGATTATCGCAGGCGCGGATCGCGCGAGAAAAACGATCGTCCCGGCATTCGGGGATGTGGTAATTGAACCCCGCGTCGAAACGTTATACGTTCGCGTTCGCGGCTGTTTGCGTTCTGTTTGCACAATCCTGCTCGGGTGTGACACAATAGACAGACAGTCGGTAATGAACAATTTAAGAACGATTACAGTAATGTCTCCCTTACTGACGCTCAAGTTGTGTACAGAAATGGACAATTTGGGAAGAGTAGATACGCGATTATTCGAACCTTGCGACTCGTTTTTATAGTTGTTGATAATCGATAACCATAAAAAACGAGCAACAAGACTCGAACAATCGTATCTCCTCTTCCAAAATTGTCCATTTTTGTGGACAATCTGAGCGTCAATTAGAGAGACATTACTGTACTATGATACAACGAGACTTAGCAACTCCGTTTGATTCAAAAATAGCATATTTGTCAATAATATTATAAAAAATACAAGGATACGCGCTATGCATTATTATCGTTGTCATTTTGTTTAAAACAGCAGTTTTAATTTAATTTTGTTTAAAACAGCAGTTTTAATTTAATTTTGTTTAAAACAGCAGTTTTAATTTAATTTTGTTTAAAACAGCAGTTTTAATTTAATTTTTCGACGTAATGTACGTTCTCGTAACGATCGGCATATTCGACTGCTAATTATTTGCTAATTTGATGCGAATACATTTCTTAAGATCACGAGCCTAATTAATACACGCGAAGGCGTATACGTCAAGGAATTTCGAACGGTGAACGACATTGGCTTTTTATCGAACTAAAACAACCGAAATATCTGCGAACGTTTCGATGGTTTCTCGTTCATAACTTGTGACGTCAGTGCGGTATAAAAACGTGACGTGATAATTTCTTTAACGAAATCCTTAAAATGATAATTCTATCAAGGAGATTTTCAATTCAAATAGCACATTTCTCAATAATGTTATAAAAAACACAAGGATACGCGCTATGCATTATTATCGTTGTCATTTTGTTTAAAACAGCAGTTTCGTTTCACCGCGGTTACGATTAGACTGCGAATAGTTTCAGCCAGTCACAGAACGCTTATGGCTTCGAGTTCGAGTACACCTGAATTAACGTGTTATACGAAGAACAAAAACTTTCAGTTTGTGTGTGTGGTTTCTAGCTACAGTAAATTCTCCCTAATAGACGCTCAGCTTGGAAACAAAAATGGATAAATTGGGAAAAGGAGATACGATTAATCGAGCCTCGCGTCTTTTGTTTATAGTTATTGACAAACGACCGCTATAAAAACGAGCCACGAGCCTCGAATAATTGCATTTCCACTTCCCAAATTCTCCATTTTTGTTTCCAAGCTGAGCGTCGATTAGGGAGAATTTACTGAGGGACAATTGGAGAGAATTTGCTGTAGCGGAGGAAACAAGTATAAAATCGCAAGGCGCTAGCAAGCGCAACTTTCGGTCGATTATCGCAGACGCGGATCGCGCGAAAAAAACGATCATCCCAGCATTCGGGGATGTTGTAATTGAACCCCGCGTCGAAACGTTATACGTTCGCACCCGCGGCTGTTTGCGTTCTGTTTGCACAATCCTGCTCGGGTGTGACACAATAGACAAACAGTCGGTAATGAACGATTTAAGGAACGATTATGTACTCTGATACAACGAGACCTAGCAACTCCGTTTGCAATCGGTCTACGTTATTGTATATGCGGCACGAACGACGATGGAACGCAGGAAATTCCGTTACGGTAATGGCGCCAAGTCCAAACACCGTGGACGGGATAAAAGAGAATACGAAATCGCTTAGAAAACAGACTAGCTCTTGGATATGCTACAGTCGGACAAAAAAGTAGCGTTGGAACATATCCTATGAATTTATTATCTGTGCACAGGAAACTAGCGCACTGCACTGCGTCTATTATTGGATTCGTTAGTTCATTACTATATTCAACCTATACGCTCTCTCGAATTCAGTCGATACGGCTGACAAAGTTATCCGGTCGGATCTTTTTCGATAGAACACGTTTTAGCCTATTCAATAAATCAAATACGTGAGATTGATTTCGTTTCGAAACTACCAAACTGTTTCTCTCTTTCTATTATTGATTCATGGTTCCCTTGGAATTTAAATTATCGCAGAAATATATAGCCTCCAAACATTGCTTCATCCTATTTAATGAATATTACATATTATAATATATTATTATATAATATATATAATATAATATATATATAATATATATAATATATTATTATATAAATAATTCTTCTTCTGTATTATTAATTCATAGCTTTGCTTGAATATGCATTATTGCAAAACAGCCTAGAATGCATACCGTATTAAATAGGGTATGCATAAATTTTATCCTGTGTTCATACTATTCAATAGATCAAAAACGTGAGATCGACCTTGTTTCAAAACTCCTAAGTGTTCCCCTCTATTATTAATTCACACCTCTCTTTGAGAATTTACACTATTACAGAAAAATATCTATATGATTTTCACACGTTTCCAACCGTTCGTAGCACTGTAAGTGTGTTAATTTGTTAATTTAATGAATCTTTTTAATTTAATTAATTTTGTTAATTTATCTTGTCCTGAAATGATTCACTCATAAAGGTATATGAATGTACGTACGAACAAGAATATATTTATTTTCTTACTTATTACACATTTTCATTGTACATTGTTATGTATTATAATGCTATATTATACGGTTGCTTCATATATGTACATACTGAAATGCGTGTTAATGGATTTCTATCTGATGTAGGACAACTAAATTAATAGGATACTTTTCATTTTTCAAATTTGTATCTAAATCTTTTACTTGCACTCTTAAGACAATGATACTACAAGACGATACAAAGTAACTACAAAGTAACTACAAAGTTGCTACAAAGTACTATCTCGACATTTTACGTTAGGGTCGATATCTGTGGATGCATGTCGAGGTTCGCTTTGTCTCATCGCTCTGCTGCATGTACCAGTCGTACAGTAAAGACGTGCCTTCTTCGTTCTTAAAATAAAGTCATAATTATATTGAAAAGTATTCCACGATGTTTTATTTAATAGTCCAATTTCCAATAGTACCAAGCTTTCCTTTTCGAAATAAAATTTAGGAAAAAAGATCGTTTAACCTTAAATGGAAATGACGAATCTCTCAAAAGAAGTTATTATATTTATACATTCTCTTGCCTTCTTTTCAATTCAAAACAAATTTAAAAACTTTGTCAATTTTGTTTACCATAACTTCAGTTACGATTAAGAATTTTTTTCTTAATTTCAATGTAACTTGGGAAGTGTATATTTTTCAATTTTTATTCAATATTAGCATTGATCTGTTCTATTAAAAATGAAATATACGAATATATCGAATAAAAAGAGAAATATTTTAGTTTTATTTTGTGATAACCCCTCGCATAGAATTGCGCTAAATTGAATTATCTGTCGGCGCTTTGAAAGGCAAGAAGTACGGCAAGAAGTTATGGCGGACTTTGACTTAACTTTTCCAATGAATATCAAATTTTCCGGGCGAATGACCCTCGTATTAGTTAATAAAAGATGGGATACCGTAACTCCTAATCGTTAGTATTTCAACACAGATTTTATACCCGGGAAACCTCCCTTGGTAGTATAAAAATACAACCCTAAACAAAAGATTGTCCATTGATAATGTGCGAAGCAAAAATGAGTTTATACGACGAAGTTGTGTCAAAATCGAGAACTATTGATAGAGATGAGATAAAGCGATGATCTTTTTCCACGTTGAAACAAAAATGATGCAGAGTAAAAGAAAAGGAGAGAGAATGTCGTATGAACGTTTTTTAACCTTGAAAATATCTATTAAACTTGAAATATTTCAACAAAATTGTCATTTATCTAATACCACGTATAATTCGATTTTTTAAAATGACATATCATACATCATTTTCCATTCAGGATTTTGAACCAAAAAATTGATTTTAGTGCAAAAACTAACGAAGTCGTGATTTTTTCGTTGAAACGATGTATAACATGTTATTTAAAAAAAACCGTACACGGTACAGGTTAAATCACAATTTGTAATATTTCAAGTTTAGCAGAAATGTGAAAGCCTAAAAAAATGTTCATACTACATTCTCTCTATTTCACCCTAATTCTCTGACGTTTCAGCTTCAATGTAAACAAGAAAATCTTCGCTTTGTCTCGTTCCTGGCAGAAGTCCTTTGATTTTGACGCAGCATCGTTACATCGCCCCACTGTGCGACGATTCGAAGAAAGTTAGACAGAGGATTCAACTAACCGTGGATAACGTGCTGAGGTCCCAGGCGCTCTTGGCCTGCTTTTGGTAGCCCTTCTTGTTCCTTTTGCCGGGTTTGCGCAGGCTGGAGAACCATCCGGCGGCTATGGCGACGGCGCTGACGTCCCGACGATGTTCCGTCTGGACGTTGCCGCCTCGGACCTCGTCCAACGCGTCGACCGATCTGCCGGTGAATATCATGGTCGTTCCCGTCTCCTTGGTAACTTTCTGTGCCGGGCTACTCTCGATTCCCGCGTCCCTGTACTTTCAGGAGCACCCTAACCTCACTTTGTGACACCGCACGCAACACGCGACACCGAAACGCTCCGGTCTCGAGGGTGACATTGACGCGCGAACTGACGTCCCGCCGAGCTTGCCTCGAATAATCTGTTCTCGGCAACCCCGCGTCGATCACTGGGATCCAATTGGTCGGGCAAGAAGCTCTCGATATCCCTACAACGATCCCTCCGATCGATATACCGGTCGATATTTATCGAGAGCGCCACGTGAACCGAGCGTAAACACCAGCGACAAAGAGTATTTCGATCTGCACGGGGAAACAATGTCGAATATATGCGTTACGATTCGTGCGTGAAACGCGTTCGCGGTATTTCTGATTCACTCTTCGATACTCGCCGCCGTTAGTCACACGAGCGATTACGCTAGGCTTTTATTGCACGGCTACTCTCGCAGTGGTACGGTAATTGCACTTAAACGCGGCGTCGCGTCTGTACTTTCGACCCGTGATATTTGCGACGTCGCGGCGGAATGATATGTGCCGAATAGATACGAACGTGATACTGTGCGTCGAAGCGATTAATCAACGATCTCTCGAGGAAAGCTACAGAACAAGCCGCTCCGCGAGGCGGCCGACGTGCGACTGCCGAGACGAGCCCGAGCGAAATCCCAGCTGGCGCCTTGCGATAACCGTCACGTGACGCGGCCACGCATGCGCGACGCCGCGCACACAACCCGGCGACCTGTAGTCCTTTTTCGAAAAAGAAAACGCTAACGATTCTTTTCCCTGCCGCGATTTTACTGTTTCACTCGATGCAAATCGGACCGCCGCGCTGGCTGCGCTACCAGATTGCACGCGTTTATGCAGATAGAAAATTTCAACGGTAAACACGCGGCCACAAGTAAATAAAGTTTCCGCTCGTTTGAACGCGGACTTGCTCTCGTCGGGTTTGAATATTTGAATTCTTACCGCGCTGATCGGGCGCCAACGGTACAGCAGAGATCTGCCTTGCTGGCGCTAGAATGACATAAGCGCGTCTAATTCGTATTGTTTCATAAGCAACGGCGGGATTAAATTTACTCGAACGACGTGCGATATCTATTAATATTGTATGCTCGAATAGCGAAGTTCATCGAATAGTTTCTCACTCTGTAAGATTTTTACATTTCTAGTCGCTGTAGTAGAAATGTTCAGAAAAAGTTTAACATTTTGATTGTAAAATACTGCATTCCGTTCTAACGTCGATACAATTAAAACATTGAAGATTAAACGTACAAGAATGAACACTCTTCATCTTGCAGTTTTCACATCCTAATCGAACTTGGTACGCTGACTATATTAGCTTAAAATCCTAAAAGTCCTAAAAAAAAAATCGTAAAAATCCTAGCTTAAAGTCCTAAAAATCTTGATTTCCGTAGCAACGTCAAATGCAATCACAAGATTACGTTGCAAAAGATTGCCAGGTTAATTGCTACGGATATTCTACAATTTCCTCAGAAATCTTCCGCTGGGAGTCATAGCTGTTAAAGACCATTATAAATAACCATCGGTAGGAGACGCGTTAATTGGCTTTCTAACGACTCTACCGCGGCTGAAAGGGACTTAATTATTTTTTTCTACGGTTGCGAATTAAATTGCTATCGACCAATTTGTTCAGGAATTTTGCCGCAGAAACTTCATAAGCGATCATTTCCAGAGAACATCTGATTCTACAACGTTGAGTCGGCAGATGCGCGGATGCCGCAGTGTAACTTATTTGTGAAAACTTATGCGTATATTGTTGCATAACCTGTTGCTGACCGAGGCGCAAACCAAGTGGACACGAGTCGTATCAACTGCGCCAAATATTCATACCGGTTGCAACTCAATGTTATACGACCGCCCCGGCAGGAATGATTCGGGCGATTTTAATACCGCAGCGAAGTTGCAGTATTTTCTCCGTAGCCGTAAAAATCGACTGCAGCCGGGCTCGGCTGGCTCGAGAAAGCCGCGGATCCGTGATATCCGCGAGCGAAATAAAACCGCCGAACCGCACGCAATATTTTCGTCCAGCATTTTTTCCCCGGCGTTTCCTCGTGAAAGAGAACTATAACTCGTCCCAGTTGCGAGGATCAGCCTTACACCGTTTGCGCTGGCTCTCGTGGCCGGGTCAAGCTGATCCCACCTACTCGTTGCTCACCGAGGTACGTTTCGAAATGTGCCAATGCGCCGAGGGAAAACTATATATTGCACCGGGGAAAATTTCTCCGCCAGTCGGGGGAAGAAAACGGATGTTAATTTCCAGCACGAGTGGGGCGTTCGATTGGAAACGCGGTTTTCCAAATGGGACCCGGCAGAATCGATGCATCGGCGAACACAATCTTCTTGCCCTTATTATCACAAGTTTCAACTCGTTTTGGAGATCATAGCTTGCTGACAGTAAGGAATTCGGTTTTTGTGTCTAACCCTTAGCGCTCCACGCGTTTCTATATATGAATATATGAATACTATAATATTCTACTATTGTACTATATTCTACTATAATATTCTAGTATTAATATTACTACTAATATTCGTCATACAGAATATTATATATTCTACATGAATACTAGAATATATAGGATAAATATATTATATATATAATATTCTAGTATTCATATAGAATATATAGGATAGATATAATATTATATATATAATATTCTAGTATTCATATAGAATATATAGGATAGATATAATATTATATATATAATATTCTAGTATTAATATTACTACTAATATTCGTCATACAGAATATTATATATTCTATATGAATACTAGAATATATAGGATAAATATAATATTATATATATAATATTCTGTATGAAGAATATTAGTAGTATTCATATAGAATATATAGAATATAGTAGTATTCATATAGAAAATATAATATTCTGTGTGTATGAATACCATATAATATTAAATGACGTGTATTATTGTAACGCAATGTGTAAATGTTCGCATCGCAGAATCATCGAAAAAAGTTCGATAGGCTCATAAAATAACGCAATCTGACAGAAATTAATACCGAATGACCCTAAGCGGCAGTATCTCGGAAGCGAGGACACGTGACAACGCTTCCTTGGAACCGCAGAACTATCGTCGAACGTTTTCGAGCATTCCTGTGCGACTGCAGTTTATGGCGGATCTGGGCGTTCCTCGAAAACACGTTTACGTCCGTCTGAGAAACTGCGTCAAGAACAATGATTAACTAAAATTAGCCGGTGCAAGACACGTTCGGTTCCGATCGCGGACTGGGAACGGCACGAGGGCGCATCGCGGCGCATCCACGGTGTGCGCGCATCGCGACGCATACTCGCGCGGATCGTGAAAAGAATTCTTCCGAGAACGAGGGAGGGGGGAGGAGAGAGAGAGAGAGAGAGAGGGACAGAGGACGCTGAAATTTCGCCGACTGCTTATCAATTGGCAGCGCGCTCTCGAGTGTCGCTAAGGGCGTTGACAGACGGGCCGTGGCTCGAAAACATGGCTACCTCTTTATCTGCCTCTCGGCTCGGGTTGCCGCGCGAAGTTATTCCATCCGGCCGTTGTAAACGATTGTGCAACCGTATCTCTTGGAAAATTGTTTTGTATTACGATAAACTCCGATGGTAGCGTCGTAAATAATTATTCAGATCGAGACTCTGAAGTCTGCGATCGCGACCGTAACGAGGGAAGGACGCGATAATCGGACTCGTGCATTGGTCGAATAAAATTTTATTCGAGCAATACCGCGAATAAATTCCCCGAATGAAATTGTATTCCAGCGATACCGCGAGTAAATTCTTCGAGTAAAATTGTATACGAGAAATATATCGAGAACGAACTCTCCGTATGTTTCGAGTACAATTTTATTCGAGATTTATCGAATGAACCAAAATTGTGGGAAAAGAACTACCGGTTGCTTCTCTCTTCGCATTGTATGTCGGTAAATATTTCGAATAAATTTTCCGAATATTTGGAATAAAATTTTATTCGCAATTTTATGTTTATAATTCTAAGTATTAAGCTTTCTTTGCAGTTAGTTAATTTTTTTAATATTCATATAATAATCGTATTAATAAAAATGATATCATTTAAATAATTATTATAATATTATATATTATAATTAAAAATATATAATAATATTATATATTATAATATTATAACTAAATGCATTGTAACGAATCGCCTGCTAATATCGTAAGTTCGCAACTGCAATTGCTAAATATCGACAGCAGAAAGATTAGATTTTATTTATATTTAAGAATAACGTTTCTATCTAGTAGATCATGACGCGATATTATTAGCGTAAACGCACCAAATTTTATCGATAAAAAAATTCTGAAAATAAAATCGTCTGCACTCTATTAAATATTAATAGAGCATACTCTATTCCATCGCACCATTTTCTGCCCTACTCATTAGATAAATGTGTGATGCAACGACATCGTTTATAACGCATCAGTGCATTTCGGAAAAGCGGGAAATCCGCAGATAAGATGTCGTTAAACGAATCCCCGATCGGGAAGATACGACTAATCTCAGGATAAGATATCCGGGATCCATCTTAATATTCCGGGCAATTATTTATCCAAGATTTGCTAATCCATGAATCCTCGGGCGTAGTTTGTTAACCCGCCTATATAATCAGCCGGAATCCTCGCCGGCAACGCTTATTAATCACCCCCGACCAATAAGCAACGAAAATGCATCCATATCTCGCCGCTGCTCGGGGATTAAATGCCTTCCCAATTAATCACAGTAGGTACTCGCGAAAGCTGCCGAGGGAAATTGAACACGCGCGGGTCGAATAAAATCGGCGACGGCGTCGTCGCGAGCGGAATTACAATGCAAACTGCGGGAACCGGCCCAGAACTGCCGGGCTTATTCCATTAGTAAATAACGATGATCTAATTCGTAGCAGGGTGTAAAACGCACGATTACGCGCCATAAATCCGTGGATTCGCGAGAACACGGTCACAGTCCACGTGGTCTTCCTTTTGACCTACCGTTCGAGATTTGTCCGCTTTCAAGGCGAACTTGGACAATGTTTATCCTCGCAATCGATTTTACAAATTGCTAGTTACAGTAATGTCTCCCTTACTGACGCTCAGATTGTCCACTAAAATGGATAATTTGGGAAGAGGAGATACGATTATTCGAGCCTTGCGGCTCGTTTTTATAATTGTGGACAATGTATAACTATAAAAATAAACCGCAAGGCTCGAATAATCGAATCTCCTCTTCCCAAATTGTCCATTTTCGTGGTCAATCTGGGCGTCAATTAGAGAGACATTACTGTACAGTAAATTCTCTCCAATTGTCCGTCGACTTGTAGACAAAAACGGATAATTTGGGAAGAGGAGATACGATTATTCGAGCCTTGCGGCTCGTTTTTATAATTGTGGACAATTTATAACTATAAAAATAAACCGCAAGGCTCGAATAATCGAATCTCCTCTTCCCAAATTGTCCATTTTTGTGGTCAATCTGGGCGTCAATTAGAGAGACATTACTGTACAGTAAATTCTCTCCAATTGTCCGACGACTTGTAGACAAAAACGGATAATTTGGGAAGAGGAGATACGATTATTCGAGCCTTGCGGCTCGTTTTTATAATTGTGGACAATTTATAACTATAAAAATAAACCGCAAGGCTCGAATAA